GTGGTGTTTCGCTGGTGTCAGGCTGAGCTATGTAGAAGTGTTGTGCGTGTGTGCAGGTTTGATTTTTGTGTGGGTGCTGGCTTGGTTTGTACGTGTGTTTAACAAGAGAATCATGCCAGGAATGCTAATCATGATTGGGTTTTAACCGAAGATCTTCTCATTTGGTAAGCTCTACATGAGTTTAACGAGACAAGATAAGCCCGACTGCCGCCCTAGGCCGATTAGACCTTCAGGAGGACCTACGTAATTTTTTGTTCGCTTATCCTAAATGGGAATTGCATAGATTACGAGAAGCCTTTTGTACGCCCCTAGAACAATATTCTAATGATAATTGAATTACTTCAAGCCACGAAAAAATCTAGAATAAGTGCAAATTAAAAATTACATGACCTACACTCCTACAGGATCACACTAATCCCTCTCAGGTTATCAACCTTCCACCCGGTAACTGCACCATGCAACAGGTGATCAGACCAGGACACGCAGTCAAAAGTCGATCGGATTTTTCGTCTAAGAATAATTGCCTAAACTTAAGGCTTCACCGTGCTCTGATGTAAAATCTCTACATATAACTTTCACCAGTTCAGTGCTACCTAAACTCCTGGTTTCACGTGTAAGCTCATTTGAAATCTCAACCAATTAGACCGCCAAAGATTTCAAAATTAAATAATTAAGCAGTGATCGCAAAGTCAAAATCTGGAAGTGACACACGACCCACGAGCGCCCGGAAGTTCGTTTCGAAGTCATGTGCGTAGTAGAAATTTCCTGTAAATCTGTCCTTTAATTTTGGAAATAATTTAGATTTTTTCGGTGATATTTGCAGTGAATCTGAAATATATCTGGAACTACCGAAGAGATTTCAATGACCGCACATGAGTTCATAGCAGCCGTGATGTTGTGTTTAGGTCATTTTCTTATCGGTGGCGGATTCTTTTGCAAGTTGTAGTGCTGCAATAAAGGCTTAGTTTGATTTGAAATAAAACTTACGACATGCTCCTTACAATAGATCGATATAACTATCGCTATTTTAGTAATATTATTCAATACTGAATATTATATTATATTAGTATTATTAGTAATATTATTTATTATCGCTATTATTATTTAGTATTTGGTAATAGCGATATAACAATCGCTATTTATTTCATTTTAATGAGTGTTCCTGGTTTTTCTTCTTAATACAATCCATTTATCAATGGTTTCTAATCATAACTTGGCATTGAAGTCGGAGTGAAAATTTATATGGGTCATGCAGATGTGGAGGTGAACTCATTTTATGGGCGATTTTTAGTTACAAGTTTAGTATCTACTATAATATACTATAATTTCTTACCTTGGTGGATTGAATGAATCAAGTGTGTTGCAAGTACTAAAATTCAGAATGTTACAAGACCATGTAGGCTACCATACATGATATGTGCAAGATGGGCTCGTGAAAGTCAGCAGGACAGCTGCCAGCGTAGTCAGGCCAGTTTGTTGCGGAACATAATAGAAATATAATAATGTTATAATATAATATAGCGGTTTCAGCTTTTATTAGGCCGTAGGCCTGTCGCCGATTCTTAACATCGCAGAACATTCACAGCTTGTTGCGGTCTCGATTCTCGAACGCACAACTCACTGCTCCAATTCTGCTGTGCTTAACCGCCCGGCCTCCTTGCCGACTCTGACCAAAAACTGGCGCTCAGAGCTGGGATCGAACCCGCGTCTCTCTGCTCCTATCCTGATACTCTGAAGTTTAACCACTGACTGGGCCACCCTGCCCAGATGGAGATGCCCACATATAGATATAGCCATAATATAGAGCATCTCCATCCATGATAAATTTTTTGAACGCCAAAAATTTAGATATTTACTACAATTGGGATGAAATTCCTTATGTACAGTACAATTCTTTGTGGAAATTTAATTATTCGAAATTTTCGATCGGTCATCCGCGACCAACGTGCGATGCATGGAGCAGCAGTAAATAACACAGTTATTCCTTGGAAGGGAAGTTTTCTAAGGTGAGGCGCTATATGAGAAAACGATCACTGATGCTAACTGCTTTAAATTTCACCTGTCCAGATCGATTGTACTATGTACATTTATTCTGACTGGGTAATTCACCGTATTTGTCTAGAATCCCTTTCGATTCACATAAGCATATCTGTAAAGAGATTAAATGTTGAGCCTTTCTCATTTCAAAACATCTCATAATAACACGTCAAGCTCGTTGAATACAAAACTTTGCAATTCTCCAGCAACTGAACAACAGACCTTCCTGTCCGCATATTGAATTTTTTAAACATATCTCAATAACAGCATAATAAATTTATGATCACATCAAATTATGAATTTATGCTAGTTTCCCAAATTTTTAATGAAAATAACTTTTTCAGAGAACAAATTTTTGCCATTTGGTAATAGAATTTTTTAGGGTACTGAGATATTCCCACAGAGATATTGAAAAATCTCTTTTCGACCGGTGATAATAATTTTCGAGTGGTAAGTTGAAAAAAAGACAATCTGTAGCGGCTAGCGGCTCCTCTCCGTAGACCGTAGCAGGTAGCCAATCATGCAGCCTCGAAGTAGCTTTCAGTTTTATATTATTATTAATAATACATGTATAATCACCTTGATATTCACAATGAATCCCAGAGAGATAACACTCAATTCATTATTATCTCAACGTGAAACTATCATTGATGAAATTTAATATGCAGATGGAAACCAACAATAGTTTGTCGTTTCTCGATTATATTAAGTCGCTTAACAGTCGCTTCCAGACTTCCGTAAACCGCAAACAGATATTTACCGGCCAGGACATGAGCTTCTCTAGATTTTGTCTATTTTGGTTTATATTGAATGGGTATAAACTGCGGCTATAAAATTTGCTCCTCCTTCCATGACATGCATTCTAAATTCAGATTCATTCGTAAAGTATTTCAACTGTCTGGGCTTCCATTGCGCCTTGTGTTAAGTAAAATAGAACGTTTTTTAATTAATAGTTATTCTGAATCAGTTATTGAGGGTGATAGTAGGAAAACAATTTATTGCGCTATCCCATATTTTGGTAGCTCGTCTGAAACAATGACCACATAGTTAAAAAGTTATTCATGAAGAATTTCACGAATATTAACCTGCACGTTTTGCTGGTGAATAATTTTAGAATGGGTTCCTTCTTCAGATATATTTATGTTATTCCTCCCTTGATGCGGTTTTCCCTGGTTTACGAATACAGTTGTGCGCGTTGCGCATCAGCGTGCGTCGCAATGACATCACGTATCTTCTGCATCCGGTTTCCACACCACCGCGATAGGAGCTTTCTTTCGAATATTCCTACTTACTCTGTTACAGTACAGTATATTCACTTGCTTCTGTAAATCAATAAATTTTATGTTCAGTTCGGCATTTTCTCGTTACTTGGGTTTAAATCTCATTCACACGTATTCAGATTTTCTCTGCTGATTGTATTGAAATCTTTAAAAAATGTTAAGCCTCCGAAACGCTTTCGATATGGTAAATCTTCTTGGCGTTTTCTTTGCTTATAAATTCTTGCTGAACTCTAAGCGGACTATAATGGGATAAGTATTTATTATAACCCAAACGGTAGTCGGCCATATATGTCATAAATGATACACTCTGTAAAATAAACGGGCCATATTGTCGAAATGTAACCCAAATACTTTCTTATCCACAGCAAGAGCAGAGAAAAGACGTAGCACTGATACGCTCTTAGGCCAAACTAGATCCGGATGACCCAAAAAGGGCAAAATGTGCATTGCTTTTTGGACTCTGTCCCTCTTATATCTCTGAGTATACCAAATACAATCTAGTGGATCGCCTCCATTACATGAACTAAACAGTTCCAGGAACGCTGGAGAAGATTTTAGAAATGACAATTATAATTTGAAGTTTGAGCAGATAATGACGATCAAGTGCGCTCGCTGGAGTTTGCACTATCGAACCGCGAATGCATCAAACATATTTTTCCTAGAAATGAACATCTTTCTTGCAATGCAAGCGGCTGATATGTTCCGTTGGACGAGTAACATGCATTTATCATGTTTCCAAGTTTCCTGCGACCACGTTCTATGAATTGATTTTAATATTGGGTCTTTTTAGGCATAATAAGAGACTTTTGTATCAATATTCTTTTAATCTGCCGTTGCATCGCTGTTTCTTTGCGGGATTTTGAGTTCATAAGGGACGGTATAAAAGCGTATTGAGGACAGATCGAATCAAATTAAAGGTATTATACTAATGTAACGATAATTGTATTAAAGAGACGAAATATACCGCCATCTCTAAAACGATAATATAAAAGCTTCTTATGTAGAATAAGCAAATCGATAGTAAATTTCCTGCATGTTTCTTGCGATATAGCGAATGAAAGATTACGAAGCATACAGTGAAATAGATACCTTGATTACGATATGAAAATTTCGTAAATTATATTCCTAAGATAACGAGAACTCACATTAAAAGTATTTATACTCTGTAATATACGGAGACAAATTATAATTATTTGCGAGTTAGAATTGCTTCTGTGCAAAGTGCACAGAGTTAATGTTATCGCTGCCAATTGTCAATACAAAATTATAAAGGAATAAATTAAAGACCAAGATGCTTTCTGCGGTCAGGAACCACTTATAAGAGCCCACCAAGCCAGTCTGATCGAGGGATCACCAATCCAGTTCACTAGATAACTAGAGCAGCTAAATTTTTGAATACTATAAGATGGAATCACCACCACATTTAGTTGAGAATATTATACATATTTAATGAATGAAATTTACAGACGAATTAAAAGAACTCACGCTTAATGCGGCGATGGGAAATGTTAGTTCCAAATATTCTCTAACTCGGAACATAACAAGACCCGAACGTAAAAATTGAAAATTTCAAATTTAGCATCAACTCATTCAAGGAATTAGCTTGTTCAAGATGAATAATGAAGTTATGTATTATAATCATATAAAATAATAATATATGAGGGCAATAGGAACGAGTGATTGAATTATAAGCTCATATTGTATGTGCTAATGAATCAACTTTAAATGTACTAATTCCAAGTATTTGCTATATCTATCGGGATGAGCCGACGAAAATCTATTTCAATACTCGCTTTCTTCTGACGAATAGAACGCTCGGTCATAATAACTGTCAGGAGTTGGAACCTGCTGTTCTGCTACACCGAACGAATGCACTCCGTACCGATCTGAGGGAAAGGATGAAACTGGCTCCTCTAAATTATCATAGTCAGAGAAAATGTTGCTGTAGGCTATTTCCAACGTGTCTTCCGAGGCAAGGGGATCGTTCTCATGGAGACTTGTATGCTCATGTTGATCCCAGAACTGGGCTTCATCGTTTTGGTCCCAATTTTTTGTTGAGTGCCAGGAACTCGGTTCGATTTCTTCGATGTCGGGGGTCGGTGGCAGCTGGAATTTTTGCGCTTCAAACTCGTGGCTGAAAAAATCTGCACTTTGGATAACATTTTTATTGTCAGACTTATGATTTACCGCAGGTCTCACATACCAGGATGAAATCAGAACAGGCTGCTCTTCCATCATGATCAAAGGAATAGAATCTTCAGGTTCAAGTTCTGTCTCCTTTTTGCTCCAAGGATATTTCCCAAAATTCCAGTTATTCGTTTTCTCCGCGAACCGCATTAATTGATCAGGAAGGGGTTTCATAATTTGCCAGTTTACTAATCCACCAATCACATCATTCAAAGATGATTTGGACACAATCTCTTGGAGGCTAGATGACGATCCTTGTGTGGAATAATCTTCATATTTAATTCCTTTCCCATCATTTGCAGCAACGGAACAGAGTCCCGAGTAAACAGCAGAACACCGAGACCCACGAGGACACTTCGAACACGCGCGCGCGATCGTGTACATCGGGTTGGCAATAATGTTCCCCGCGGGGCCGTAGTTGCACGTGTATAATTTCTTATGCCTGGAGCCATCTTGGAAATATCTGTAGCCGCAACCAACGTGAGTCGTGGTTGCCCACACCATTTGTGTGTAGTGCCCAGTCGAGTGCGTGAAACTGAGAAAGATTCAGCGCATTATTTACAAATTTTAAAAATTTTAAAGCATTCACTGGTAATAAAGCCGAACTTTTAGATTTCTCCTGTTAATGTTTGATTATATTCATTTTCATAAAACCCCTGTAGCGAAACAATGTACTTTGCTAAGCTTCATCTGTTTATACAACCCTCGTCTCTAACTCATTGAAATACCAATTAGTAGTAGTCTATTTTAAGCATGAGAGCATAAAATCATGTTCACGAAAGTATCAAGGATTACTTGTCTGCTATATGAAATATTCATAACTTGAAAAACTTTGTTTCATTTCCGGTCTCGAAAACCTTGTCTCATTCCATTGCCTCGTTTCCGTATTAAATTTAATCTAAAGCAATTACTACGTAAAAAATCAGTGCATTAAAACATTGCTAGGTGTTCTCATTTACTTTCACTCCAATGCCAATGAAGAAGATAAATAAATACGCATACTTGCTATACAATTTATATTCAAATCAATTCATTTGACGTTTATATCAATCTCTGAAAAAATTAGTCATACGGCAATACCGAGCTTATGAACAGCCATCTCTCGCCGTGTGCGTGGCATGTTACAACAGCCTACGGCAATGTCGAACTCACGTGAAGGAATCAATAAAAGTGTTGTTGAAGTCCCTGACTTCTTCATACTCACGTGAAGGGATCAATACAAGTGTTGTCGAAGTCCCTGACTTCTTCATACTCACGTGAATGGATCAATAAAAGTGTTGTCGAAGTCCCTGACTTCCTCATACCAGCTCGTGATTACTTTCGTCCAGTCTGCCTCCTTTCCACCTCCAGTCGAGTCGCTCTGGTGAAGATTCTGTCCCACAGCGAACCGATCTGCGTGCATATAATTATACTCATTGGTAAAGAGAACATTTTTAGTGTTCAACCTTGATATATTGCAAATAATTTTATCTTTGGTACGAAATTCAAACAAGGCAATTGACTGCTCGCTGCATTAAGCATCAATAAAAAGTGAAAAATTTTCACTTCCAAGTGAATCGGATAAAAATAAAATATATTAATAATAATTTACAAAATTAATAATAATATGTTACTTTGTAATATTCACTACAAATCCTAACAGAAAATATTGTGCCGATGAACACTTATTCACTAATACTACTTCCACTACTATTCACTACACTATTCTACACTACAGCGCACACATCACAATGTGGGGTCTGACCAAGTGCGCGGCAGTGGTTGCAGTCGTGCTGGGAGCTGCACTGGTCGGCGTGACGCTGCGCCAGCGCGGCGAGCTCGTCATCCCACACCTGTACATGAGTGCGGTAAATAAATATAAACATTACACTCGCTTACTAAAATAATTCTTCTAAACTGGTGCATATTTGGATCATATTTTATACCAAAGTCTTAAATTAGTTAAATTTTAATTAAATAAAAATTGCTGGAATTGTATAGGTTTCCGCTGAAAATTTGAATTGTTTCGGTGGAAATGAATTGTGCGAAATTCAAATTTTAAAATAAATCAATACTGGTTTGGTTTTCAGTTGTTTATGCACTATTTCTGATACAATAAATTCAGGAGCGCGTATTGCATATTTGATGCGTTTTTCAGATTAAGTAAAAACAATCGTTCGTAATTTTATGTACCAATATTTGCTTCCATTTTTATGACAGCAATTCTGACTACACTTCCCGCCATTACAAGACGATGTCAGCCTACAATTTCTTTCTATGACAACAAGATTTACTCATTCAATATCTGATTAAATAACACTTATGGGTAATTTACAACTCAGTTCAATGATAATTTAGTTTAATTTAAGATAATTTTAATGCAGGTTGACAAGTCAACCTGCATTAAAATTATCTTACGTCCGAATTAATTTCGAGTTATCGCAGAAGAAAACGAAAAAATCGAACACATCGTTCTCACCAGCTGCATCATGTTTGCTGCAGGTGGTTGAGGACCAGCTGGGCCTTTCAAAATTACTTCCGTATGAATTAATTTCAAGTTATCGCAGAAGAAACTGAATAAATTGAACATAGCATTAATTCTCACCAGCTGCATCATGTTTGCTGCAGGTGGTTGAGGACCAGCGGTGCCTTTCATCTCGAGCCCTGACGCCACGTGTGCCCTGAATTTATTGTGTGTTCTTAATATCAACTCAGCGTCCCGACCTGACACGCCGCCCGATGTTGCTCCGCCTGTACTGCATGCTGGTCCTGCAAGCCAACCATGGATTTCATCACAAAATAGTCAATACTTTACAATATGTGAATGAGTATCATCACAAAAAATTTCCAACACTTTACAATATGTGAATGAATATCACCACAAAAAATATTCAACACTTGACAATATGTGAATAAATATCATCACAAAAAATTTCCAACACTTTACAATATGTGAATGAATATCATCACAAAAATAGCCATCACTTTAGTATATGTGAATCACGAAAGCAATGAAGTAAGAACGAACGGGGCATTTATTCTACTTCACTTTTTGGTTCCGAAAAAAAGTGTGGGTAATTTAAAATATTTCACTCTGGTGGTTCGTGATCATCTACAAAAGGAAATTTATAGTAGGCAATAACATGATTAAATTTCTAATATTGTACTTGAATTCAGTGAGTTTGTAATTAATATGTCCATTAACTACCAACCCAGTATTTGGGAGTAAAGCTAATGTCTAATTTAAGTACTACAATTTGAATATTACATGCAGGTGACGAACGCCGGAAATTTGAAAATTTTCAATGATATTTAACATCATTTTTTGCAGTCTATTGCAAAGTCAACGTAATTCCCTTCCACGCAGGCAGGTATCATCAATTCACCAACTCTTGCCGCGCAAACGCCCAAAATTTAACCAATTGGCTTGTTTTATCTGAGGAACAATTCTGTATGTTGTAATTAAGTGGTGTCCATATATATCATCAGAAGTTGTAAAAATATTTGCCTGAGATTATACCATGAATACCGGAAAAAAGGAACCTGCATGTGGCTGATTCAACTGATAGAATGATCATAATTCGTCAGATAATAAAATAATTCTACTTTCCTCACATTTGACTTCGCTTCATTTGACATGATGAAAAATAATATTAACGTTTTAAAAACAAATCCCATTAGAAGCTTATTTCCTGCTTTGATGCCAGCCCATTACTCACCAACGCCAGTGTATTAATGACCGAGAGCAGCGCATTACTCACCACCAGCAGCGTACTACTCACCAACGCCAGCGTATTACTCTCCACCAGCAGCGTATTACTCAACATCAGCGTATTACTCACCAATAGCAGCGCGTTTCTCACTACCAGCAGCGTATTACTCACCAGGGTATTACAAACCAAAAGCAGCGTATTACTCACCAACACCAGGGTATTACACACCAAAAGCAGCGTATTACTCACCAACACCAGAGTATTTGCACAAGGTGTGGCTCTTACTTAGCCTGCAATAGTTCGACCAAATTCCTTCTGGAATTATACTCCCAGAACTATAAATTGGAGGTTTGTTATCTTGGTTAACGAACATTGCTTGTGCATTATAAAAGGCATGTACAAGCAACAGAATACTAGTCGCAAAGCGCTCTTTTCCTACTTTCGTAGCGTCTAAGTTAGTTTCGCAAAACATGTTCAGAAACTGAACAACTGAATACAAACTGCAAGCTATGTGAATCTGAGCATCTATTTTAAATAAATGATATTAAGCAGGGCTGAATATTCTATGTATCTGTTGGTAATAAGAAAGATTTTTTAAGTGCCCGATCGTGAACGTTGATTTGTAGTGAGAATAATAGTAAGTATCTGCTGTTGCTCATTGAAAGTATAATCTTCATCTACTATTAAGTTAATGAAGCCCAACGCGACAATATGCATTTTGCAAAGTCTATCAATATGCATTACCTGCCGCGTCGGATTCTTGAATGGAAATTAAATTGCATTTAATTGTTAAAATCATGCGGCATTTTAGGACAGGAGAATGAGAGGTCGTCAATATTTTTTCTCCTTCATGCACAGTCTAGCACTCTAGCTGTTTGTGTTGCGCCGCTTATATATATAAGAGCTTTTCGTTCGCGTTTCTACGATAGGTACCTACTTTCCGTGTTGAGTCATCACCTGCATATATATGGTGTGAACGAAGAAATCGTTCACACCATATATTTGCAATCGTTCTTTTTTCTTTACTTTACATGTACATACAGTTTACTCATGTTAATGATAAATTATAAAGGTTAGCAATAGGAAATATCTAGCGTGGCCGGCTGCGTGACACAGTCGTTCGACCTTTTCGCACGAGATTTGTTGAAGGCGCAGCCGTAGGCTACAACTTATCTCTATATGAGCTACGGAAGCCTTTTTGATGGAAGCTAGCAATTACTGAGCTTAGTTTTCGGTCAATTTCTCGCAGAGTGGCCTCCCCTTGATTAGGCTCTGACATTTCTTACCACCTACTTACTGTATTGTAGCTCTCTTGCATTTTCACTGTCTATCGTGTCTGGTTTAAAGTACCCTAATTTCTGGATTAACAAATATTAATCCACCTGTGATGAAGGTGAAAAACGGTGCCTTTAATTACCAAGTATTTCAAATGACAATTCAATAAGTTCGTGGCTGGAATTCTGCCGCACGTGGCCCTCTATGAGGTTGAGACTGTGAACGCCAGGTCATATAGTGGGTGAATAGTAAGCATTGCAAAACTGGATGGAATGGATTGGACTAATAAGTTAAATTTTATTCAGTATATGTACATTTAATTTCAAAAAATGCAGAGTCAAACAGTTCATATCTTATAATCGCTATTCAACACACTTCTACATGTCCAATCGATCTGAAATTTTCCACACTTTCGTAAAGTCGGAGGCAATGCGTGAATCAATTGACAGAATAAATAATTTGAAAATTTTAATTTTTTTAATTTAAAAATAAAATTTAAAAATTAATTCTTGTATAATATTTGATAATAAAATTAGAAATTCATTGTACATGTGTAACATCGGAGACGCTTAATTCTTTAGAAGTCTTGTCTCTAAAAAGTGATTTTTATCGCATATTTTATATTAAATTTCTCTTATGAAAAATGTGATAAGGGAAAACGCGATATAAATGGATTCGTTTTAAATAAGTTTCTCTCCGAGCAAGCCAAAGGCACAAATTTTGTTTTTTTTTTCAGTCTTATAAAAGGTAGCTTATAATACTGTGTTTCTCTAGGGGCAGACACACTGACGCATTATCCGAGGTTTCACTCAAGTTGGTTAGTTACATAAAGCTACAATACATATCTGATCGTAAGTTAAGCTGAAATTATGAATCTATGTCATTATATTTAGTTTCTGCATCACCTAAAAGTCTTAAATGAATATTTCGTCAGCAGAAACCGTTTGCAAGTGCAGAAGCTTGTATTAAGTCATCACCCATGAAAAGACCTTTGGTTCAGTGAAAAAAAATTTCTTACAGGATGGACGGTGTTCGAAAATTGCATGAGTTATCGAACTCAAGCAATGTTAGGCTAATCTGTTTATTTTATGGTTAATAATTTATTACTTTTTGTTCAGAAAATGAACAAATCAAAAACTCTTTTTAAAGTCAATAACGTAGATAAATAGGAATTCTATGTCTAAGTTGGAATTCAGCGGGTCTTTCCCCAAAGCGTTTCGTATTTAGAAATTCATATTTTGCGTTAGTTTAGAAATAATCCGCGTTATTTGTGTTGACATAAATCGGATTAATCGGATTCGAAGTCTGCACTAACGTCTATTGATTGTTACAAAACTCTGCATTACGCAACAATAGCAAAAGAAGCAAAATAAATACCCCGTCACACTTTAGTTTGTAATTTGCGACCTGTGATTACCAGAAATGTGACGAATAAAATGGTAGCCTGGCTACCTGCTGGCTGGTCAGTTATCAGCATAGCAACAGAAGGTCCTAGGAAACAAATAGTTTTCATGAGGGCAATTACTACCGAAACCAAAACTTTCCCCACTATCATAACCTATATTTGGAAAAAAATCTCAAATGACTCAGCTGCCCATTTACGCATTGAAATACTCTACCGAGCGCGAATGAACTCCAAACTCATGCGAGATACAAACTTTTCAACGCATAGTTCTCCTAAGTAATTCTGTGATGTTCGAACGCCGATTAGAACTACTGTGAGTCACCCTAGGTGCGACTAGTAAGAAGAGGCGACCAGTGCAGCCAACTGGTCAAATCAAACTAGAATACAACGATCGAGACTCTAGATATCTAGTCGACTAGGGGCCCTACTGGCCGATGCAAGCTGGTGTAGCGTTATGCTCCAATTCTGCTGTTTCCCAAACTGGCTTTCGATCCGCATCTTTTCGATCTGCCAAACTGTGGTGAGTTACCGTACCACATGGGGTAATTTTTGAGGTTTTAGAGTAATTCAGGGGTGAATGTCTTAATTTATCCATAGATGTAAATAAGAACATCTAAGAAATGAATAAAACATATTTATAGCAGCAAACTGAATCGAATAACAGATAGAACGTAAACCACCACAGGTTTAACGTAGGGTAACATGGGGCAGCGAGCCCACTGCGGGTCACGGGCCCATAGCGGGTTTCTCGCTAAGTATGGCAGATATTGGTCCGTGTTCTCTACCGCCGGTCGACAGTTTCACTGGGATGAAGTGCACGGATTTACGTTTTGCTAAGTGTTAGTGTTTCATTAAAAATTGAATAACTCTATAGGCGTCTAATTCACATCATACATTCCTCATTAGTTGCACCTTTAAACAAAACAGAGAACCACCTCGTATCAATTAAAACTTCATCAAAAATTTAGTTAAAAAAAATGGGGGGCGCGCTGCCCCACGTTACCCTACGTCCTGTGTTGTCTGTCAATACCATGTTCACAATTATTATCATGATATGGTTAGGATAGGATCGGTTGCTTGCGCTCAATTTAGCCTTCTTAGTTAATAAAATTAGTTCGTCTCTACACATTTCCTCAAACATTCCCTTAGCATTATTGGATTGATCCCGTTGTCTGCTTGGACTTCGTTATTATGCAAATTAATTCTTCTATTTTAATTGAGTCTTTTATTTTTTCAGATAGTTAATACGCAGGTTATTTATTACTTTATTATCTACGAGCCAAATCTCTACCTCAGCTGAAGTCGGTTTGGACGAAGCAATTTTTTTGCATTTTTCTAAATTATCGAAATGTTCAAGGCGTCATATTAACATAAAATGATACTCTTTGCTAGAATGTTTGATTAGGTATGTGATATATTTATGTTCATTAACTATCTTTTGTTGATTTCAAGTACCGTGCAGTTGCGGAATCAGAACGCGGAAAGATCAAAGCTTGCTTCTACTACGGCCACTTAAATCTGAGAAGTCTTGAATATATTAATTTTACGTGCAGTTCTGCTTGGTATATCATCTAATTTGTGAAATGAGTGTTAATACCTTTTATTCACTCATCCCATTGTAGTCGAATTTATAATTGCGCTTACTACACCTTAGCAAGCGAGTATTTAACGTTCAGTAATGACACTTTCAAAGCTCGAAGAATTTCTCCTTGCACTTAACACTCACACACACCTCGGCACACTAACCTAGTTTGTCCAGCTTATGAAATCCATAATTGGTGTTGTGGGATATGTTGTTCAAACGCATAATGTTTGTCCTTTGAATCACAACACTTATTAGCATCGCCGACTGCCTGGCTTGCAGGTTGGAATGGCATTGTGAATTTCAAGACACAAGGGGGTTGATGCGTATCAGCGATACAAGGGAGCAGGTCAACTGAAAATAGGATATTTTCAATGTACGGAAGGCTTTAGTATCTTCACCCTCTACCGCCGTATGACACTATCCGGGAACATTCAACTTAAATTAAACGTAAACTATTGAGTGTAGCAACCTGAGGACGTTTCTACGCAACGGAGAATTTTAAAGTTGTCGTACGTGGCGGCAACCATCAGTGCAAGGCATTTTGCGTTCACTAGAACGTATCCATTTTGGAACAAGGCGTATGACAATATTGCTCCGGTTACTCATGTCAGGCCGGTTACTCAGGGTTAAATATTGACAATGTTCATCGCTTTTGACGAACGTCTTGAAGCATCGATTCTTGCAGAATTATGAAATGCGTTACTTCTAAGGACATTATTGGCTGAAGTCTTCAGCTGTCGTCACTGCGTAATTGAAGCCACGAAGGAAAACTGCACTTAATAGGTGAATGAGGATGTTTAAATGGTGTTCTCACGGAATAGGTGAGAATAGGTGAATGAATTAGCCTGCCCCACCCACCAAGTTGAAACAACAAATTAAAACCTGCTTCCATCATGGTCGGATAAAAAGTTTCGCTGGGTGGAACAAATGAGTAAATGGGATGAATTAAACTGAAGTCAAGACTTTTGAACGCACAGGTATATTTCTCGGCACGACACGGAATATTCGTACATCAACAGCTAATAAGACACATGTTTATTTAATGTAGATGAAATAAACTAGAAGTTCTACAGATATAAACACGTATAAGCGTTGTACGAGAAATCACAAGAGACGGTGACTAGCTTCAACTGCATATTACATCTCCAGTGTCACGTAAAGTACAAGTTAATCCACCCTAAAAATGTTAATTAATCATTCTTCAAAATAGATTAATCATAATAAAGGATGTTGAAGAGTAAATAGTTCTTTCAAAGCGACGAAGAACGTAAGTTTACCTAAGCGAACGATGGACAAGGATAACGAATTAAGGCGAAAGATAATTTAGTAATCAAAAACACAATTACGAAAGAGTTAATGAAGTAAATACTAGTTTAGTTGCATGAGAAAGCGCAGCCTATTTCTGAGTTCCATATTATGTCGTCAACAATTGCTGAAGGTTAAAACAGATTTGACAAATATCAGAAATGATAACGGGAAATATTTCATCAAATATGTAATATTTTTGGCTGATGTTGCATGTGATGGTCGCATGTTGGAACTCGATGCGGTGAGTATGCATTGGGGAATGCTTAATTGTATCTTATATACAATATAGCAAGCCTCATATATGCAATTCAATATTATAAACGATATATGTGCATACGAGGAATACATGGAGAGTGGCAAGCTAGACAAAATTTATAAAGATAACTTTGCACCTACTTTCTTCTAAGCTATTTTTTTGTTCAACACGCGATTTTCCGTTTAATCTTATGAAGCGAGGACTACGTTGAATAGACCTAAATACAAATATTTACCTATTTGCTTTGAATAAATCCTAGATTTTGAAATCTGGAGTGTATCAAAAAGTTTTACCAGATTATACTTTGAAATGAGATTCTTTTCGTTAACGATTCGTCTAACTTGAGCTCTAGGCTTACGCCTGTAGAGAGCGAGGAGTATTTAATCCAGTATTTGCGCGTGCAGATTTAATTCTGCAGGGATAGAGGTGAAGACTTGAACTTGGGTATGTAGTGCTAAAGCACTCGGCAATAGTACTACATAAAATAGGAGCAACCATGTAAAATAAAATTTTGGTCGTTATCCAAAACTACTTACAGAGCCTGCAGATAAACTAGATTCTCTGCAACCCCTCAACAGGTCAGTCACAATAGCGATCATTTGATTCAGATTGCCATCGAAAATCAGCTTTGAACATAAATACCAAGAGGTGAGACTGTGGGCTCTCATTTACGTAGACAATAGGGCAGAGTTTCAACCCTCAATAAAACCTAAACACGAATTATGGAACTTCCAGACGTTATAATTTAATAATTTGAAGTCAACGGAAAAATTTGGTGTATTTGGCAGAGCAGCTATTACTGTGTCGGACCCTGATGAGGGGTTAAAGGGAGTCATTCATAAGCTTAGCTCTTCGGCACATGTCACTGGACCCTTGAAGTGTACAGACTACAGAGCAGCTGGCTGCTTAGAGTACAAAGATAAATTACATCCAGAATAAATTCATAGACTCAAAATGCATGGATTAGGATTAGTAATGCATAGATTAGTAATAGAAATAGTGTAAATTTTGTCCAAAAAATAAATTATCATCGAAATTTTGCTATTTTTACCTCGATATTAATTATAAAGTGCATCAGGACGTTCCAGTCAGCCCTACATCGATCGCCGTTTCGAATTTGTCAAACCCTTCTAGTAAATGAGCGGACATATATTGTTAAGTATCATAAAATTATTCTGTTTCCAAATTTGATCAAACTCCTAGACTGAGAGATCTTCCTAGACGAGGCACATCGGTAGTGAAGCAACTAAGGAAACTTGGCATTCAGGAGGAAAATGCAAATTTAAGCCTAACTTCAACTCTAGTGTAGTTACATTGTGACTAATTAGTTACATCACTAACTAATTTTTTACGGCCTTTACCGACTAATAACGGCCTGGGCTGGCTAGTTATGGCCTTTGCTAGCTAGTTAGGCTTTATAGCAGGCTGGTTACGGCCTTTACTAGCTAGTTAAGCCTCATAGCTGGCTAGTTACGGCTTTTACTGGCTAGTTCAGGCCTTTGCTAGCTAGAAACAAGCAAGTAAGGCTTACAGGTTCACCGCTACCACTTTAATGTAATAAAATAACAAGGAAAGCGGTGACCGCAAACTGGGCCATCGTTCCTGGCACCAAACCAAGAACTGAACGACATTGCCGGTCCAGCAATAGCGTGCTTCAAGGAGTGAAATTAATTTCAGTGTAAAATACAAATAAAGCATGCGGGCATTCTGTTCATACGAGTACGCGAAAAATATCATAAATTTCATACATGTTTCTTTCAATTATTAGTAAGGAAAAATAGCTTACCACTGACAAACAATTTAGTGAATTTCATACACGTTTTTTCCGATTATTAGTAACAAATGTTAGCGTAATATTGGCAAACAATTTATTGAATTTCATACATGTTTTCGCATGTGACGCCACGAAGGTTAGTTGAAGCAACACCGAGCGTCGTATGGTTAATCCATGGAGCCTAAGCATGATAAATACACATGTCATACACTTCCATACACAGCATCTTATGAAGAGGAAACCGCTAAATTCCTGTTTGATCATCCGACATCAACTAATATTTCTCGATACCGGAAAAATAACATTCAGCAAAGCTATTGTTAATTCCATAAGAATGAATTCCCGGAGGGCATAATTGATTTGTTCTTTGATAACAAATTACAATAGTTTAGAAGATAATGAATACGAACGCTTAGAAAATGCATTGAACTAACTACTCTGATGTGATAATGGACAGATAATGAGTGCGATGGCTTGTTAAGACACTAACATATTTAAAATTAACTTTTGTTCTGGAAACGTTACGAAATTTCAGCGAATATTGAATACCAAATCAAAGAATAGTAAATGAAAGCCGAAAATTGAGAAAGTAAGCAAGGCGAAGAGCAAACGACGTGAGAAATCGAGGAATATTGGTAAGAAGCAAGAGATAATAAGTTACGCGTAAAATATCTGGAGAGGAAACAGTAAGCCTAAAAATACAGAGACGAAGTTGGAAATGAATAAATACGGCGATATGATAAACCGAGCAAAAAAAGAATGAATACAAAGATGCTCGAGGAGCAGGATGAGCAGAACAAACTTCAGAGCTCAAATTAGCAGCATTTGCGCGTGCACATTTAATTCTACAAGGCTAGAGTTGAAGACCAGAACTTGCGTATTGAGGTGAAGACTTGGACTTGCGTATCTAGTGCTATTGCAGTCAGCACTAGTACTACATAAAAATAGGGGCCACCATGTAAAATAATATCAGTAATTATGGAACACACTTAAGACACATCCAATATGAAGCGGAGATAAAGAGGCTGAGTGAGAGAGAAGCATTTAACTAACGTTAAAGCAATCGAGTGAACTACAACAAGCATTACATGATACAATAAAGATCATTTCCTTCACTAACGATAGTCTGCAATAAATAACAAAAAAGGACGCGTATTTCTACACTAACAAAAAAACTTAGAATAAATAACATAGAACTTTACTCACAATGAATGTGAGCAGAGTTCAGTGACCGGACGATGAGTAAAATCAAGGTACGGTCTACAAGCAATACGATGTCTTCTGGCAACAATACGATACGATCCACAGGCATGATGGCAATCACTAGTAGCAGCAAGTGCAGGAAAAATTAACCGCAAAACGTGAGAAAAAACTTCGCTCTTGACAAAATGCAAGCGTATGCAACAGGAAAGGAACCGATGTTATGGGCCTTACACGAGACAAGTGACTAAATGCGAGATTATTTGCAATTTAAATAAATAATAAATTTTTCAGTTGCGATCTTATCCATCTTCACAGAGATAAGGAATAATTTAACATTCGCCTCGTACTGGACAGAGATGCAAGGTAACCAAGGGCATTTAATGGACTTGCCCAGAATGATGTTGGGCGGAGGACACCAACGCTTGTGCAGTGACAAGGAAAAGGTGATTAATTGTGCACAGCTAGAACCTAACAATTATTAGGTCTGTGGGCAATAACTAATAGTTTACTTGCTTCAAATGACGAGTGTCTAACCTAACAATTATTAGCTCTGTGGGTAATAACTAATAATTTACATACTTCAGATGATGCGTGTCTGTCACTGAACTACAACACACCGGACGCCCGATCCACTGAATCTGAATATGTCAGACGACTACTGAGGCATGAATTCGGTGTAGACGAAAATACAACCTTACACCAAAAACACATTTAGAATGATTGCAAAATGACTGTGCATTATAACTTGATATCTGTGTTATTGTTTCTACAATATAAGTCATGTCGAAATATTAGAAATCATTATTTTGTCAAGGAAATAATAAGACTATGTCACTGCAAGCGTGGCACATAGTCGCGTCATACATGAAATTCCTTAATCTTTCTTTAGTTAACGAAGCTTTGAAACTCGAAGAAGTTTCACGTCCCACTGAATAAAACAGCTATCACGTCAACACATAAAAGCTATTCCGTACACAGATGGTTTTTGTTTCTAATTCATCTAACATATATGCCCTACTTTGAATCTCACACAGATTCATTTAATACTAAAGAACAAGGCATTAAATTTAAGCGCCTTTCAGTCCAAAGATGTGATCCCAAAACAAGACGAAGCCTGGCTGCTGTGCTCCTAATTCTCTGAAGTTGGAGGAGTGGAAATAGACTCCATGCACTCCATGCGCTCCATTCAGTTGATCATCTTGAAGAGTACCATGGAGAACACGAGCCCCAATAGCTGCAAAATGGGAGGCACATTGATAAAAGAAATTACGAAGCAATAATGATAACAGATGACAATAACAACGAATATTATGAACAGCCACACACCTAAGCTATACACTCAATAACAGAGACGACAAAACCGTCGAGACGTGAATGCGAAAAGCTGTTCTGAAAATAGAGCAGTTGCAATTTGAGTCAATATATAACATAACAAAATGACCAATGTTAACCTCATTTTAACGGGAATATTAAAACTTCTTCACCTAATTATGATTTCATTAATATTACGATTATAGATTACAGAAGTTACGACCATAACTTTGGTATTAAAGACAAACTGAAACCATCAACTCAAACAGTGATTTCGAACAACGAACTCAAAAACACTTAGCTACTGTACAATGTACAACATTGCTATACTGTTAGAAAAATTACCGTTAACGGTATTACCGACGTTTCAGTGGCCGGTCGGCTCGTGAAAAGAAACACCGTGTCGCAGTTTTTATTCTAATTTAACACTAGAAATCCGTAAAACATCTGATAAAAACGGCGAAACAGTTTATTTTCACGTGGCGACCGGCCACTAGAATGCCAGTGGGACCGCTTTTTCACCGTTTTTCTAACTGTGTACAACTTAGCTACTACTGTACAAACATTGATACTGTACCATTAGCTGGGCAATGATACCGTAACATTAGCAGGACAATGATAATGTACCATTAGCAGGGCGATGATACTGTACCATTAGCAGGGCAATGATGACGCCCACACCCCCGATGATAAGGCCGTAGTACTCGACCATCTCCTTGGCGTCGGCGTAGCAGCCCACGGCGTACGCGGTGTTGTTGTTGGGCGCAGTCTCGCAGTCCAGTAGGTTGCCTGAGCTGCTCGTCATGCAGCACGACTTCGGTACCTGCAACCAACGACACGTGTTGCTGTATGTGTTGTCTTGTAGCGCGTGTTGCAAGCCTTGCAACATGTGTATCAAACATTACGGCATTTGTGGCAACCCTCGCAGGTTTAGAGCCGAGCCGCTACATGTTTTAAGCCTTGCAGTCAGCATAGCAAGGCTCGCAAAATACGTTGTAAGTCTCGTAGCCCAGGTTGCAAGCCTGGGTCCAAATCCTGCCCTATATTATAAGTCCAAATCCAACCCTTGACAATAATATATTCAAAAATCTCGTTTGATTCAACGACCAGAATCACTCTCTTTGTACAAGATACAAAAAGAAACAATTGCCGACTCCATCCGGTAGTCGAGCGAAAAGTAATTAACAGCACATCAAGTGATGGTGACATCACGTCATTACCAGTTGGTGGTGCCAAATTTCACACGCCAAGACCATATATCAGTATTAAGATCACTTATTTCCTTAAATCGCAAGTTAACCAGGAATTTAAAAGCAAAAACAATACCACAAAAATTCACAGTATCTTTATATGAGAAAACGTTTCCGAGTCCAGCTCCATATTCAGTTCAAGACACAAAGTTTAGTCCTAGCAACACAAATACAATCAATTAGTAAAGTAAAATGCACTGTCAGGAAATATCCGTCACATTTCAGTACCTGTTTGCCAGTGGTAACAAAGTTCTTGTTGAACTCGTCATTACCAGCATGGTGGTACCAAAGTCCATACACCAAGTCGAAATATCCGTCACATTTCAGTACCTGCTTGCCAGTGGTAGCGAAGTTCTTGTTGAACGTGACCCAGTCGCCGCGGCCGTCAACACCGCAACATTTGAGCGCAGCTTGCGTGTCATCGAAGGCCCTGGTGAGCCTGGAGGTGGTGCTGGCAGGGTCGTACTCCCGAACCTTCTGAATGAGCGTCGTGTGCACGGTCTCCTGCGCCTTGCCACGGTACACGTAACCCAAGATACCGCCCACCAGTAGCACGATGAACAGCAGCAGCGTGATGATGAAATACTGCACAGAGGGTGATGATGAAACAACAGGCAAATAAGGACCAGTGTGATGGTGAAACACCAGCCATCGCCACAACCATTAAGCTCTACCATCACATTCCTCATCAACGCTAAAATCATTGAGCCCTACCACCTCAGAAGAACCATACTACCTGTACCTTGGATTCGGCTCCCGGGCCGGATGGGGTCCCTGCAGTATTACAGAAAAGATATGTCGGTGCACTAAAGGTCCCTCTGACTTTGCTCTGGAAAACATCATTGAGCGAAGGAAATGTCCCTAGTGACCTTAAATTAGGGCTAATTACCCCTATCTACAAAGGAGGCGCAAGAGACAAACCCCAAAATTACAGGCCGGTTACATAAACATCACACGTACTCAAAGTATTTGAGAAGGTTGTTGCCAGAAGGTTGGGGCAGTACATGGAAGACGCTGAACTTTTCAACAGAAGGCAACACGGTTTTAGACGAAATCGTTCCTGTTTGTCTTAGTTACTGGAGCATCACAACCAAATCCTGGCCATGCAGGAGGAGGGGGCCGGGGTGGACGTGGTGTATTTGGACTTCGCGAAAGCGTTTGACAAAGTTGACTATGGAGTGTTCTTCAGAAAATTAAGACTGCTGGGAGTCGGAGGTGAATTGCTGGCATGGATCCACAGCTTCCTAACAGAAAGACTACAAGCTGTCGTTGTTGGAGGCTCGAGATCGAGCGTGGCTAGGGTGAAGAGTGGAGTACCACAGGGGACGGTACTCGGCCCAATCCTCTTCCTCATCCACATCGCCGACATATATGTGGCAGGGAACCACGCCACTGCATCGTCATTCGCAGACGACACCAGGATATTAATGACCATCACGGACAAGACGGACAGTGAGAGGTTGCAAGAAGACCTCTCTGCAATATATGACTGGGCCCTAGTGAACAACATGCAGTTCAACGAGACCAAGTTTGAGGTCCTGAGGTACAGAGGGACCGGAAGAGCTGGAATTGATCACCGCTACCTGGCACCTGACAACTCGGACATCGAAGAGAAGCGACTCGTTCGCGATCTAGGAGTGTTGATGAACAATCAGGTCAATTTTGGTGATCACATACCGGCAATAACCGCAAAAGGTAGACGACAGATGGGGTGGATCTGGCGGACGTTTCCTTGAATACTGCTGCCAGCTCTGGACTCCGTTCACACTAGGCACAATACGGCAACTGGAAGGAGTCCAACGAACCTTTACTTCCAGGATCAGAGGGATGGAGAATTTTAACTACTGGGAGAGGTTACAGCGACTGAGTCTGTACTCACTGCAGAGGAGACGGGAGAGGTATGTCATTCTGTACATATGGAAAATGATAACCGGAATGGTGCAAAACTTCGAGAGCGAGACCTTCAGGATTCAGACATAACACAACGAGAGAAGGGGGAGACTGTGCAAGATCCCTCCCCTGCGTAACAGATCCGCAGTCAGATTTCAATCCCTGCGGGGAGGATCAGTTTCCGTGGCAGGGCCAAGGCTGTTCAACGTCCTACCAAGGGATCTAAGAGAGGGGGAGTTCACCCTGGAGACCTTCAAGAGACAACTGGACGTTTTCCTGGACACAATCCCAGATCGACCTCCCCTCCAACACTACCAGCGGCGAGAAGCAAGCAACAGCATCGTGCTTCAGCTGGCCCAAATGAGAGCGGATGAACGATAATCAGAGGCGGCGATCCATCGTGGCCTGGGACTGCTATGTCCCAAACAAATACTAAGGATACCAGCAAAGAAGGATCAGTGTGATAGTGAAATGCTGGACAGAGAAGAAGCTTCGCGATAGTGAAGCACTGGACAAAGAAGCACCAAGGAAAAGGTGCATCGAAAGAAAGGAGTGTAGTGACGTGTGATGACAAGAAAGCGTACAGAAGAGACGAAGTGCAGAGAACCTAACCGAATAAATAATGGCGCGCGGTGTATGAAGCGGCAAAGCCTAATGCTGAAAAGATGATCAATTTCGCGTCTGCATTCAATAGCAGAGAACAATTTCTGGTACACTAAATATAATAAACTTGGATTCACCGGTCAATAGCACGGAACCGTTTTCGACCAAAATATTCTAAAAAATTACACACAACGGTATTTTGAGGCTATTATAAAAGTACTAAGTACTGTAAGTACTGATTCAACACCCCAATAATAGTACAATGGACGATTATGACACAGTACATATCAAATTATCACAGCCGGCAGCAGCACGCACCAGCAGCAGGGACTTGAACTACTAGATGGCATCAGTGACTAATAATCCGTAAAAGTGACATCTAAAATTATACCTCAGGACGATTATGACACAGTCTATATACTCCATATGTCATCACAGCCTTCCGGTTGCACGCACCAGCAGAGACTTGAACACCTAGAGCGCATCAGTGACTAATGTCCCTAATATTGACATCTAAAAAAATACCTCAGGACGATTATGACACAGTGCATATCATATCACAGCAGCACACACCAGCAGCAGCAGACACTTGATCTCCTTGAGGGCGCCGAAGCAGCCGAGGAAGGATATGAAGAAGGCCACGACGCCCACCGCGATGATGATGTAGGCGGCCGCCGCGTACACCTGCGTGCCTAGCAGGTCCTCCAGGTACGGCTTGTCCACCACCGTCCAGATGCCCAGCGCCAGCAGCAGGATGCTGCCCACCTGTCGAAATATTCAATTAATTGATGGCACCACAAGCGTCCAGTTAATGCCACCACAAGCGTCCAGTTAATGTCACCACAAGCGTCCAGTTAATGCCACCACAAGCGTCCAGTTAATGCCACCACAAGCGTCCAGTTAATGCCACCACAAGCGTCCAGTTAATGCCGTCACAAGCGTCCAGTTAATGCCGTCACAAGCGTCCAGTTAATG